GCTCAATCAGTGTTTCAGCCGCGCAAAGACATCAATTTAATGGCTTCTAAACAATATGTCACGTAATGTCACATTTGACCATAACATGACCATAAACTCATTAGTCAGATAGAAAAATAAACTGCAGAGAGGGGCATTTTGCTTAATATATGCACCATATGACATATTCATTATAATTTTTACTGTTCTTCAATGTTTAATTTATGTTTGAATAAATCCATCAAGTTTTGATGACAGCCACTATTTAAATGTTTATATTAAAAAAACAACAACAACAACAACGAATTGAAGTACGTTAGAAATATTAATATGTAACTGTAACTTTATTATTGTAAAAACTTCATTAATTTTAACCTTCAATATTATAGTAATGTTGTACCAACTAACTCTCGTTTATATTTTACAGCATTAGTTGAGATTTTTTTTTCCTTGAGAAAATTTGGCATGTACTGTACCTGATATATATCCAAAATAATCGATATTGAATCGAATCGGTAATCGAATCGAATCGAATCACAAGCTTGTGAATGAGAATCGAATCGAATCATGAAATTTGTGTCAAAACCCAGCCCTAGTTTTATTATGGATGCGCACGCTTTATTTGACGTGTTTTGGACTGTTGAACAGAAACACCCACCCACTGCAATGTTAACGCTTGGAATAGCCAGGACCATTTTTAATATAACTCCGATTGGATTTGTCTGAAATTTGTAGGAGTTTCCCTTTCAGACGCAAAATTTATGGGAGGAGAGTATTCAAATGAATTATGCAACGCGATTTACTAACGTTTGCTTTCGTCAAATTACTGGTATTTGCGCCATTACAATACCCCAAAAAAGCATGTCTTAAAGGGGTCATATGATGCGATTTCATTTTTTCCTTTCTCACGCTTGAGGTATTCGGCCAATCATAACGCATTGGATAGCTGGCCAATCAGAGCACACCTCGCTTTTCAGACCGATTAGTTTTGTAAAAATCGACGCGTTTCAAAAAGGCGGGGCATAGAGGAGAAACAATAATGTACAGTATGTGGAAAATAATGTGTTTTTTTACCTTTAAACCGCATAAACACATTTCATTACACCAAATGCACAAAATAATGTTCTTTTTAGCAGCATCATATGACCCCTTTAAACTATTTTGCACCTGTGTCGTAAGTAGATCACTCACACCTGATGAGCATCGGCTCTGCTTGTTTGCGACTACGCTAATTTGCGCTGCGCTTGCTATATTGCGTTGGTCGATATGTAAATGAGATGTTGCGTCTGTGTTCTTTAATTTGTGCATTGTCAGTAAATCACCCGCAGAAATTTCCAGGCCCATCGGCGCTGTTTTGGAATTGCGCTCTAATGCTAATTTGCCCTGTTTAGTAAATCTGGCCTTTAGATCATATATAAAACTGAAAGGCATTAAAGGGATAGTTCATTTAAAAATTCCATCAAAGCTGCTTTGGACCCCACTGACTGCCATTATTTGGGCAAAAACTTTCTTCAGAATATCTTCTTTTATGTGTGAGTAAATGATATACAAAATACATTTTAATAAATTTAAATACATTTTGATATACAAAATACATACATATAATTGCAAATTAAATTAAAACAGCTTTATTTTATCACTTAATTTAGTACTTCTCAGGTTTTCTCTCTATTTCTCATACTTGGACTCACAAAACCAATGTAATCATTAGTATTCAAAGGTATTCATACATAAAGTGTGGTTCTAGTGCACATGCATTTTTGTACATTTGTAAATGCATTAAAAACTCCAATAACAAAGTATTGACAGCATCTAAAATCTAAAGATTTTACAAGTGTTTACAAATCCATTTTGGGGTTCATAGAATTATGAATACTTGTTTATTTTGTTGTATTTATAATATGTGAAATTGAACACCAAGACATTTGTAGCAGTTTCATTCTATTCTGTATGATTTCAAAAAAGAACAGCAAATACGCATTCAACAGATTTTTAAATGTTTTTCAAAGAAATGTCTTCTGCTCACCAAGGCTGCATTTATTTGATCAGAAATACAGTATAAACATTAATACTGTGAAATTTTATTACGATTTAAAATACCAGTTTTCTATTGTAATACATTTTAAAATGTAATTTATTCCTGTGATCAAATCTGAATTTTCAGCATCATTCGCCAGTCTTTAGTGTCACATGATCCTTCAGAAATCATTCGTATATGATGGTTTGCTGCTCAAGAAACATTTTTGATGAATAGAAGAGAAAGATCGAAAGCATTTATTTGAAATATAACTTTTAAACTTCACTGTGACTTTACAGATCAATTTGTGTCTTTGCTGTATAAAAGCATGAATTTATTTTTTAAAAATCTTACTTTTTCCAGTAGTGCATTTCATACTTGTAACTGAATTACACTGCAAAGAGTGAAAATGCTTGCACAAAGTTCCATCTGAATTTCATTAATACATAAATTTGGTCATTATTTTCCACTATGAGATTATGCAACTTGGTTGGTCATCTGCTATGGCTGTCAGTTTTAGTGCCAACCAGTTGTTTCAGTGTCAAATCAAATGTGCAAAAACCAACAAACCATCTGAAATACATGATGTGCCCTGTCTTTTCAATTCTGACGTGACATGTTCGTGTTTGTGACAAGCAGTCACTTCCTTTACAGAAAACATGAGATCTAACAGCAGCTACAAAAAAAGAAGAGCATGTCACTACTTCCTAAGGGAAGAGAAGGTACTAAAACACAACGTTATACCTCTAAGACAAATATGACAGTACTCCAACAGAGAAAAAGCACACAGAAACAAAAAAGCTCACCTGCAGCCTACAGTAACACAGTACAGCGATAATGCACAGTAAGATTACTGTAGCTAGAATTCCACCTGTGATTACCACTGTCCCGGCTGTCATTCGAAAGGCTCTCCATCAACACCCTAAAAAACAAAAACAAAGAGAGAAAGGCATTAGGTTAACGAGAAACGTCTATATAAAATTGTTTATGATCAAAGGTAACCCGCCATACGACCACTGTGTGTGCGACTGAACTCCATTAGCTTCAATCAAATGTGCCAGAGGAATTTTATGGACATTTCAGCGTGATAAATGTTTCCCAGCACCTATGATTTGAATGCCAAAATCATCACCCCACAGGGATGAATGTGAATGGGCAGAACAAATGTGAGGAAAAGAGAGACTAAACACACCCTAGGAGGGATAACGAAGGTCAGAAGAAGAGGAAATGATGGAGAGATAACCTTGGACCAAGATGACTGATAAAACCACAACAACAGTCAATATGGAAGGTCAATAAACAAAGATGTGGATGATAAAGAAGAAAACATTTGAAATGAATCTAGTCATCATTTGGCACATTGTGAATACATTATGTTGTTGTATTTACAATAAATGGAATTAAATATGTTTAATCAAGACACGACAAGCAAAAACATTGTTTTTCATGCACTGGGATTTTGAGATTTTTGTCTATTTTGCTTCCATAACATGTCTTCTTTCTGACAACCCTACAAAAATGTAATATTTAAAATACATTTATTACATAGTAAGCGTATTTCAAATCTATTAACATATTTTTCCCGACATAACATTCGAGACTTACTGATATAAAAATAATAATTAAACTTTATTTGGAGTACTACTTGTGTACAATGCACATATTAAACCTAAAATGTCACTATTATTGAGGATTGTATGATCTCTTTATAATATCAGTCTTTAAATGCAAGATATTTAAAGTGTACCTGAAGTAAACTTGCAATAGTTCCACTTTAGCACAATCAAATATACTTCATTGTATCTTTAGTTGGACTTCAGCGCTACTTTAAGTGCATTAAGTACAAAATTAGTTGTTCCAATTTAGCAGACTTTAACAGTTTAGTATACTAAAAGTACAATTGCAGGGTATTTTTATTAAGCACATAAATATGCAAATGTATTTGTACTATACTTAGCATGAAATAAATGTATTTCAAATATATTTTAGTACATTTATTTTTCACTAGGGAAATTGAAATTTATATATTTGCATCTGTAGATTTCAATTACAACACATATCTTTAAAGACCGTTTTCTCATAATCAACAATCTTCATTTCAGTAGCACTTATATACAGCAAACTTTACAGTTGCATTCATATATCTATATTCTGAACATTTTTACAGAGAGGTTTGTTCATATATCATTCACCTGGTATTGCAAAACATGTTTGGTGGGATACAGGTAAGGTTAGGGACAGGTTTGGTGGTATGGGTAGGTTTAAGGGTGGGTTAAGGCGCAAGGGATGGGTCAACAGTGTAAATATATATGTAATTACATTCAGGTATTTTTTATGTGCACAATAAGTGCATTGTATTACATGACTAATTTAAATAGTAGTTAAATGCTACCTAATATAAAGCGGGACTGTTTTTTTTTTCTGGCTGTTGACAGTATTGTCTGATTTATGAATGATATCCAAAATTCCTTCTATAAAAACAATATTGAAATTTATATTATGTATGCAAATTACTGCATATTTAATTAGATAAAGCATACTTTGCATATTTAAACATGACATTTCAGAAAACTTGTAATACAAAACAACTGTCTTAATGTACTGTAACTAATCAGCTGGGAAGTATGGTTATATCTATTAGTTACAATTTCTACCATATTCACCTAGATCTTGACTTAATGCCATCACATTTACTCAATTTTACATCGCAACATTTTTATTCTATCCACAGTGTGATTTCTAAAGAGAAACACACCAAACACACACACAAATCAGTTTGCACATTCTACCGTAGGGTGAGAAAATCCTTCAGGAGAAACTCTTATTTAACATCTTGTTCAAAGAAATAGTGATGCAAGAGCAGCATTGTGATCACAATGACACTCATGCTACTTCAGATTCAATCTGTAATATCTGACTGTTGACTTACTGCCTAATATATCCAACCCCTTGAAAGCTGCTGATGTAACAATGCACTCAACACTATTCACTTCACGTGTTAGTGGTTTTAATGTTCTGGCTAATCAGTGTATGGGAAACTAGCTCTACTTGACATCAGGTCAACCACCCAGTTTGTTTAGACATGAAAGAGAATGAAAGGTAGCCTTTAGGAGAGATTGCTCAATGAATGACTGGAAACGGGCAAGGTTAGATGGGCATTAATAGGTAATGCCCTTTCAGTGGAGCTAGGCAAGGTCAACTGACCCAAAAGCCTTAGTCAAATATCACTGTCCTTTGAGAAATGATGCTTACTGAAGCATGTAAAACAACATGTGTGCATTCACATGTTAAGAGAGCTGTGGAAATGACTAGACATGATTGGCTTTCTGACTATAATGAAATGTAAATGTTATCGTTGCATTAACTGAAACTGCATTGGCTGCTTTGTAGTTGTAAGTATGACTGAATTGGAAAAGTAAATGTTAAAAATATGTGTTTTTAAAAAAAAATACTATTTCGTTTATTTTTGAGTAAAGCCAAAAAAAACGACTATTCGAGTATGTTTTACACACTATTAAGATATTATGTAGTATTTTATGTATAGAATTTTAATACAGTTTTAATACCGTTAATACCATTTTAAAATACTATTTCAGTCTTCCTATGTTAAAATTTCATATTTAACCCAATGTGTTACTTGCAGTTTCTTTGTAATTATTTGTGAAATTTGCTTGCAATTTTTAAGACAAAATGGTTTCTACACAATTATTTTTGTGTTTAACCACTGAATGAATCAACAAACATCAATGGTAACCGCAAAAACTTCAAAAACATTCTAAATATGCCAAGTAACAGAACATTAAACATTAATAGGTTTTATTCATTTAAAAAAAAAAATCATGTTTTAGAGTGTAACTGGGCTAATAGTCTTGAACAATTAAGTAAAATTTAGTAAAAAAAAGTATGTACTTATTAAATAACTTGTGTGGATTTTACTTAATTCCATGTGTGAAATTTATTTAAAAAATCTGAGTGCAATTACTTTCAAAAGTAAATTGGAGAAAATTTTACTTAATGTTTTTTCCTGTGCTTTGATTCAGACTGAAGGTTTGAAAAATGATGCATAAGAAAACTCCTCACATTTGTAAGGTATAACGCTTAAATAAGACTATCTGTAATGGCGTGTAATTCAGGTGTGAAGTGACAAAAGCAAAGTAATCTAGTGTAATGGCAATAAACTGTAATGAGCTTCATCTATCTTCTTTCCTCCACTGGGTGCTCTTTAGACATGAACCTCCATCAAGCTCCTAGTTGAATTTAGCTTTAGGACCTTTAAGAAAAGAACAGAACGGAAACATTACGTCCCGAATACTGAGGGGAGGAAATAAAACGTTGGTTCCTGTACTCTTTTCTAACAATAGGGTCCTGTCGGATGAGAAACACACACACACCGGTCTCATTTCCTCTTCAACTACCTTGATTTAAAGAATATGTGACTGTCTGTAGGATTCTAGTCTTTTTGTGTTTTATTTTGACAGGCATCTGTCTCAGCCAATCAGCTGAGGTGTCCTCGAGTAGTTCGTACCTGCTCTCAAAAATCAAATTAGGCCTTTGTAATCTGATTCGTCTAGTGGCCGAATGCAATCAATCGATCTGGGTTGGAAATGAAACAGGGCTGTTGGTTTTCATTTGATTGTGAAAAAGGCAGCTAGAAGAGAACATCAATAATACGTCGGAGCTCATTGTTGATATTAGGCTGAAGAGAAGCTAGAAATCAGTCTGTTAACCCCTGGGTCAATGACATGACGCTTGTTTTTTTAAAAATGGAGTTCAAACATACAATGACTTGAATATACATTCTTCGTTTCTGAATTAAAAATTATTTTGATATTTTATGGGGCATAAAGTAAATATTTCAGGCTATGCAACTGTCCTGATATCGAAATAAAGAATATATCCACATAAAAAAATTAATTCCTTCAAAAGTACTACTTTTTTAAAAGTAAAACTACTTTTAAGTAGTTTGGCACACTCTTTAATTATTATGATTCTTTAAGTGCTTAATCACTTAATATTTAAAACTTTACAAATTTTTGGTTATGTGGTGCAACCAACATGCAGAAAATAACAGGAAATGACATCATAAAGACAACCCTCTGCTGACCCTTATTGCTGTATGGCAAGGACAATAATTCCTTTAAATAGTTTACTAATATATACTATAACTAATATATGTTACTAATATATACTAAAAAAAACAACAATAGAAAACATTGTTTGAAATTGTAATAATATTTCATAATATTACTGTTTTTCAAATAAATGCAAACTTTGAGACCAAATGAGACTTAAAACACTTAAAAAATCTTACCAGCCCCAATCAAACGTTTGAACTGTAGTATATGTAAGGGATAATCAACGGCTTGCCGTGCATTAAAGGATTTTAAAGGGGTGGTTGATTGCGATTTCACTTTTTTAACGTTAGTTAGTGTGTAATGTTGCTGTTTGAGCATAAAAAATATCTGCAAAGTTACGAAGCTGAAAGTTCAATGCAAACGGAGATATCGTCTTTTAAAATTATGGCAGTTTAATGCATACAAAAACGGCTGGTAGTGACTACTATGAGTTACTTCCCGGGTTCATGATGTAACAAACCCAGATAAACCCCACCACCGGGAACACGCAACGAAGGGGGCGAGGCTATGGCCCTGTCCCAAATGGCACCCTAAACCCTCTCGGTCTTCCTCTGAGTCCACACTTTCGTGACGTAATGCCGCTTTGACTGTCGGGTAGAAGTCTGCTGCGGAGCTCGCACCAGTGCGGGCTCGGCAGAAGTGTGGATCGAGGGTGCATATCGGCCACAAAGGGGGCGCTCGCAAGCACCCTTCTGAACGGTAAAATGACAAATGGCACACCCTACGGTCTCGTGGACTTAACGGACACGCGCACATGGCGGCCATTGTATGTCTGTAAGACTGTAAG